GGAAGGGTCCCGGATCAGGGGTCTCTGGGTGTGTTTGGGGGTCTCGGTGTGTTTGGGGGTCTGGGTGTGTTTGGGGGTCTCGGTGTGTTTGGGGGGGTCTCTGTGTGTTTGGGGGTCTCGGTGTGTTTTGGGGAGTCTCGGTGTGTTTGGGGAGGTCTCAGGTGTGTTTGGGGGTCTCGGTGTGTTTGGGGGTCTCCGGTGTGTTTGGGGGGGTCTCTGTGTGTTTGGGGGAGGTCTCTGTGTTTTGGGGGTCTGGGTGTGTTTTGGGGGTCTGGGGTGTGTTTGGGGGGGTCTCTGTGTGTTTTGGGGGTCTGGGTGTGTTTGGGGGGTCTCTGTGTGTTTGGGGGTCTAGGTGTTTTTAGGGGGTTGGGTGTGTTTGGGGGTCTCGAGTGTGTTTGGGGGTCTCGCTGTATTTTGGGGAGTCTCGCTGTGTTTGGGGTGTCTCTGTATTTGGGGGTCTCTCTCTGTATTTTGGGGTCTCTCTGGATATTTTGGGGGTCTCTCTGTATTTGGGGGGGCCTCTGGGTGTTTGAGGGGGGTCTGGGTGTGTTTGGGGGGGGTCTCGGTGTGTTTGGGGGGGTCTGGGTGTGTTTTTGGGGGGTCTCTGTATTTCGGGGGCTCTCTCTGGGTGTTTTGGGGGTCTCTCTGTATTTGGGGGGGTCTCTGGGTATTTTGGGGGGTTTTCTGGATATTTTGGGGGTCTCTGTATTTGAGGGGGGTCTCTCTGACCCCCCCGTGCCCCCCAGGCCGATGTTCCCCGATGCAGACCCCGGGTGGGCTCTGGGGGTCTCTCTGTAATTTTGGGGGGGTGTCTCTGTATTTGGGGGTGTCTCTCTGTAATTTTGGGGGTCTCTCTGACCCCTATGCCCCAGGCCGATGTTCCCTGATGCAGACACCGGGTGGGCTCTGGGGGTCTCTCTGTAATTTTGGAGGGGGTCTCTCTGTATTTAGGGATCTCTGGGTATTTGGGGGTCTCTCTGTATTTTGGGGGTATTTTGGGGTCCCACTGACTCCCAGCGCCCCCAGGCCGATGTTCCCCGATGCAGACACCGGGTGGGCTCTGGGGGTCTCTCTGTAATTTTGGGGGGGTGTCTCTGTATTTGGGGGGGTCTCTCTATAATTTTGGGGGTCTCTCTGTAATTTGGGGGTCTCTCTGACCCCCCCGTGCCCCCCAGGCCGATGTTCCCCGATGCAGACCCCGGGTGGGCTCTGGGGGTCTTTGGGTATTTTGGGGGTCTGTTTTGGGGGTCTCTGGGTTTTTTGGGGGTCTCTCTGTAATTTTGGGGGTCTCTCTGTAATTTGGGGGTCTCTCTGACCCCCCCAGGCCGATGTTCCCCGATGCAGACCCCGGGTGGGCTCTGGGGGTCTCTCTGTAATTTTGGGGGGGTCTCTCTGTATTTAGGGATCTCTGGGTATTTGGGGGGGTCTCTGGGTATTTTTGGGGTCACTGACCCCCGCCCCCCAGGCCGATGTTCCCCGATGCAGACCCGGCGCCGGGTGGGTTTTAGGCCTCGGGACCCGGCGCTTCACGCGGGGCCCCCCCCGAGCCCGGCAGGGCCCCCGACGTGGCCGAGCCCCTCCCCCGCCGCCCTCCCCCGCCCCCGAGGCCGTCATGTCGTGTCGCGACAGGACCCAGGAGTTCCTCTTCGCCTGCAAGTCCCTGCAGGGCCGCCAGGTGGGAGAGACCCCCCAAAAAGGGAGGGACCCCCCTCAGGACTCTCTGTGACCCCCAGGACCCCCAGGGACCCCCTGGGACCCCCGTTGACCCACAGGACCCCCTGTGACCCCTCGGGGACCCTCCCGCTCCAGGGAACCCCTGGGACCCCGGGGACCCCCTTGTGACCACCCTGTGACCCCAGGGGACCCCACTGCTGACCTCCCGGGGACCCCTCCCGGACCCTCCCAGGGACCCCCCTTTGATCCCCTGTGACCTCTGGGGACCCCCTTGTGACCCCACCCTTTTTGCCCCCCTCTTCACCCCGGGGTCCCTTCCCCCCTCCCTCCCCCACTCAGTTCACCCGGGGTCCCTCAATCCCATCCCCTCCCCCTGGGGATCCCCCTGTGTGTCCCCCCTTCCCCCACCTCAACCCTGGGGTTCTCCCTACCCTGACCCTTCGTGACCCCCCAGGAGTCCCCCATTGCCCCCTGACCCCCGAGGGACCCCTGACCCCCCAGGAGTCCCCATTACCCCCTGACCCGAGGACCCCTGACCCCCAGAGAGCCCCTTGCACTGGGGTCCCCCTGATCCCCAGGGGGTCCCCCTTGTTTTGGGTGCCCCTGAACCCCCTTCGTTCTGGGGTCCTCTCCTTGCCCTGGGGCTGCTGACCCCCCTTGCTCTGAGGTCCCCTGACCCCCAGGAGTCCCCCTTGTTTTGGGGTCCCCTGGACCCCTTGCCCTGAGGGTCCCTCCTTGCCCTGGGGTGCCCCTGACCCCCCTTGTTCTGGGGTCCCCTGCCCCCAGGGGTCCCCCTGTTCTGGGAGTCCCCTGCCCCAGGGGTCCCCCTTGTTTGGGGTCCCCAGAGCCTCCCCTTACCTGGGGTCCCCTGAGCCCCCCTTTGCTCTGGGGTCCCTCCTTGCCCTGGGGTGCCCCTGACCCCCCTTTGCTCTGGGGTCCCCCTGCCCCCAGGGGTCCCCCTTGTTCTAGGTACCTGAGTCCCCCTTGTTTAGGGTCCCCTGCCCCCAGGGAGTCCCCTTGTTTTAGGGTGCCCTGCCCCCAGGGGTCCCCTTGATTTTGGGGGTGCCCCTGACCCGCTGTGTCCCCAGGCCGGGGGTCTCAGCCCAGCAGAGTCTCGGGCCGGGCAGAAGCGCAGCGAGTTCAGCCTGATGGCCAAGTGAGGGGGTCCAAAAATGGGGGCTGGAGCTCCAAAATAGGGGGTTAGAGGGCTCCAAAAATGAGAGTGGGGGCTCCAAAATGGGGGCTGGGGGCTCCAAAATGGGGAGACAGGAAGGGGTTAGGGGGCTCCAAAAATGGGGGACAGGAAGGAGGTTGAGGGGCTCCAAAATGAGGAGTGGGGGCTCCAAAATAGGGGGTGGGAGCTCCAAAATGGGGATTGGGGGCTCCAAAAATGGGATTGGGACTCCAAAATGGGAGGTTAGGGGGCTCCAAAAATGGGGAGCTGGGGGCTCCAAAAATGGGGAGTGGAGGCTCCAAAAATGGGAGTGGGGGCTCCAAAAATGGGGGCTGGGGCTCCAAAAATGGAGGTTGAGGGTCCAAAATGGAGTGGGGAGCTCCAAAAATGGGGGCTGGGGGCTCAAAAAATGGGGGTGGGGGCTCCAAAAATGGGGATTGGGGGCTCAAAAAATGGTGGGGTGGGGACTCCAAAAATGGGGGTTAGGGGCTCCAAAAATGGGGGTTGGGGGCTCCAAAATGAGGGACAGGAGGGGGTTGGGGGCTCCAAGAAATGGGGCTGAGGGCTCCAAAAATGGGGCTGGGGGCTCCAAAATGGGGAGTGGGGGCTCCAAAAATGGGGGCTGGGGGCTCCAAAATGGGAGGTTGGGGGCTTCAAAAATGGGGGCTGGGGCTCCAAAAATGGGGGTTGGGGTCCTCAAAAAGAGGTGGGATCCCCAAAAGGGGGGTTGGGATCCCCAAAAGGAGGGTTTGGGGTCCCCAAAAATGGGAAGTGGGGCTCCAAAAATGGGGGGACAGGAAGGGGTTGGGGGGCTCCAGGAATGGGGGTTGGGGTCCCCAAAACTGGGGGCTGGGGTCTCCAGGTGGGACAGGAAGGAATTGGGGTCCCCAAAAAAGGGGGGGTTGGGATCCCCAAAAATGGGGGGTTGGGGTCCCCATCTGGGCCAGGGGTGGCTCAGGACCCCCAGGAATTTTGGGGAGGGTCCCTGGGCGTGCTGGGATCGGGATGGGGGTCCAGGGACCCCCCAAAATCCCTGACCCCCCCCTTTTTCCCCCCCTTTCCTCCCCTGCAGGCGCATCAGGAAGGACCTGAGCAACACCTTTGCCAAGCTGGAGAAGCTCACCATCCGTCAGTGGGGGCTGGGGGGGTTTAGGGGGTCTGGGGGAGTTTAGGGGGGCTGGGGGTCCTGGCAGCCCCCTGACCTTTTTGTGTCCCCCTTCAGTGGCCAGAGGAAATCCTGTTGCGATGATAAAGCCGTGGAGATCGAGGAGCTCACCTACATCATCAGACAGGTTTGGGGGGGCTGATCCTTCTGGGGGGGGGCCTGACCTTTCTGGGGGGGTCCCTGACCCTGCAGGGGGGGTCCCTGGCCCTTCTGGGGGGGTCCCCGACCCTTGGGGGGGTCCCTGATCCTGCAGGGGGCCCATTTTGGGGCCTGACTCCCAAGGGGGTCCTTTGGGGATCCCTGAGCCTTTGGGGGTCCTGACACTTGGGGGGTCCTGATCCTTCTGGGGGTCCCTGACCTTCTGGGGGTCCCTGACCCTTCTGGGAGTCCCTGACCCTTCTGGGGGGGTCCCTGACCCTTCTGGGGGGGTCCCTGACCCTTCTGGGGGGGTCCCTGACCCTTCTGGGGGGTCCCTGACCCTGCAGGGAGGTCCCTGCCCCTTGGTGGGGGGAGGGGTTGCCACATTTTGGGGGTCCCTTCTTAGCCTGGTGGGGGTGGAGGGGGCCTTGACCCCACAGGGCAGGTTTTGGGGGGTCCCTGACCCCCTGGGACACATTTTGGGGTGTCCCTGACCCCATGGGGCAGGTTTTGGGGGGTCCCTGAGCCCATAGAGAAGGTTTTGGGGTGTCCCTGATCCCCCCTTTGGCCCCCCCAGGACATCACCAGCCTGAACAAGCAGATTGCTCAGCTCCAGGAGGGTCCCTGGGGTGGGGTTTGGGGGGTCCCTGACCCCCTGGGGTGGGGTTTGGGGGGTCCCTGACCCCCTGGCACACATTTTGGGGTGTCTTTGGCCCCCCCAGGACATCAGCAGCCTGAACAAGCAGATTGCTCAGCTCCAGGAGCTGCTCTGGGGGGGTCCCTGGGGTGGGGTTTGGGGGGTCCCTGACCCCACAGGGCAGGTTTTGGGGTGTCCCTGACCCCCCCCTGTGCCCCCCCAGGACATCAGCAGCCTGAACAAGCAGATTGCTCAGCTCCAGGAGCTGCTCTGGGGGGGTCCCTGGAGCGGGGTTTGGGGGGTCCCTGACCCCACAGGGCAGGTTTTGGGGGGTCCCTGAGCCCCTGGCACACATTTTGGGGTGTCCCTGACCCCCCACCCTGTCCCCCCAGGACATCATCAGCCTGAACAAGCAGATTGCTCAGCTCCAGGAGGGTCCCTGGGGTGGGGTTTGGGGGGTCCCTGAGCCCCTGGGGCAGGTTTTGGGGGTCCCTGACCCCCTGTCACACATTTTGGGGTGTCTTTGGCCCCCCCCAGGACATCAGCAGCCTGAACAAGCAGATTGCTCAGCTCCAGGAGCTGCTTTGGGGAGGTCCCTGGAGCGGGGTTTGGGGGGTCCCTGACCCCACAGGGCAGGTTTTGGGGGGTCCCTGAGCCCCTGGCACACATTTTGGGGTGTCTTTGGCCCCCCCAGGACATCAGCAGCCTGAACAAGCAGATTGCTCAGCTCCAGGAGCTGCTCCGGGGGGGTTCCTGGGAGGGGGTTTGGGGGGTCCCTGACCCCATGGGGCACATTTTGGGGTGTCCCTGACCCCCCTTTGGCCCCCCCAGGACATCACCAGCCTGAACAAGCAGATTGCTCAGCTCCAGGAGCTGCTCCGGGCCCGGGGGGGCCCCGGCGGCCGCCACGTCCACTCCCACTCCAACACCGTGGTGGTGTCGCTGCAGGTGGGACTGGGGGGCACTGGGGGGCACTGGGGGGCACTGGGGGTGGGGAGGGGGGCAGGGACACTCAGCAACCCCCCCAGCACCTCCTGAGCCCCCCCAAATTGTCTTATCCTCCCCCAGTCCAAGCTGGCCTCGATGTCCAACGACTTCAAGTCGGTGCTGGAGGTGCGGACTGAGGTGAGTCCTGGGGGCTCCTCCCCTTCCCCCTTTTCCTCCCTCCTCTGATTCCAAATTCTCCTTTTCTCCCTTTTTTATTTCCCCCTTTTTTTCCTTTTTCCTTCCTGGTTTTTTTTTCTGTTTTTTGTTTTCCTCCTTTTCTGCCTCCCCCCTTTTTTTCCTCTCCATTTTTTTTCTTCCTCCTTTTTTTCTCTTCTTTTTTTTTTTTCCCCCTTTTTTCCTCTCTCTCTTTTCTCCCCTCCCCCTTTTTTCCCTTCTCCCTTTTCCCTTTTTTTCCTTTCTCATTTTTCATCTTCTTTTTGTTTCCCTTTTTTTCTTTCCCTTTTTGCTCTGCAATTTTTTTTTCTTCCCCTTTTCCTTTCCTTTTCCTCTCTTTTTGCCCCACCCTTTTCCCCCCATTTTCTCCCCCCATTTCCCCCTCATTTTCCCCCATTTCCCCTCATTTCCCCCAATTTCCCCATTTCCCCATTTTCTCCCCATTTCCCTCCTCATTTCCCCCATTTCCCCCCCATTTCCTCCCCATTTTCACCCCAATTTCCCCCCCATTTCCCCCTCATTTCCCCCCATTTTCCCCTCATTCCCCCAATTTCCCCCTCATTTCTCCCCCATTTCCCCCATTTCCCCCTCATTTCCCCCATTTCCCCCAATTTTCCCCTCATTTTCCCCCATTTCCCCCAATTTCCCCAATTTCCCCCTCATTCCCTCAATTTCCTCCATTTCCCCATTTTCCTCCATTTCTCCATTTCCCCCATTCCCCAATTTCCCCCTCAATTTCCCCATTCTCCCCATTTCGCCCATGTCCTCCCAATTCCCCCAATTTCCCCATTTTCCCCTTCCTCCATTTCCCCATTTCCCCCAATTCCCCCTCATTTCCCCAATTTCCCCATTTTCCCCAGAACCTGAAGCAGCAGCGGAGCCGCCGGGAACATTTCTCGTCCCCTCCGGTCACCCCCAACAACCTCGGTGAGTCCTGGCATTTTTGGGGGTCTGGGGGTCCTTGTGCCCCTGACCACTCCCCTGCCCCCAGGGACCCGGGGGTGCTGCAGGACGAGCCTCCTCGGGGCCGTGGGCCATCGAGATGGACCCCCGGACCCAGCAACAGCTGCAGCTGCTGGACCAGCAGGTGGGGGGCTTTGGAGGCTTGGGGGCTGCAGAACCCCCAGCAGGTGGGGACCCCTAAGAGAGGGGTCTGGGGGCTTGGGGGCTGCAGAACCCCCCAGCAGGTGGGGAGACCCCTAAGGGAGGGGTTTGGGGGCTGCAGAACCCCCCAGCAGGTGGGGAAACCCCCAAAAGGGGGGTTTGGGGGCTGCAGAACCCCCAGCAGGTGGGGAGACCCCCAAGGGGGGTTTGGGGATGCAGAACCCCCCAGCAGGTGGGGAGACCCCCAAAAGGGGGTTTGGGGGGCTTGGGGGCTGCAGAACCCCCCAGCAGGTGGGGAGACCCCCAGAAGAGGGGGTTTGGGGCTGCAGAACCCCCAGCAGGTGGGGAGACCCCTAAGGGAGGGGTTTGGGGGCTGCAGAACCCCCAGCAGGTGGGAGACCCCCAAAGAGGGGGTTTGGGGCTGCAGAACCCCAGCAGGTGGGGACCCCAAAGGGGCTTGGGGGCTTGGGGGCTGCAGAACCCCCAGCAGGTGGGGAGACCCCATAAGGAGGGGTTTGGGAGATGCAGAACCCCCCAGCAGGTGGGGAGACCCCCAAAAGGGGGGTTTGGGGAGGATTTGGGGCTGCAGAACCCCCATCAGGTGGGGGACTCCCAAGGGGGGTTTGGGGGCTGCAGAACCCCCAGCAGGTGGGGAGACCCCAAAATGGGGGTTTTGGGGATTTGGGGGCTGCAGAACCCCCATCAGGTGGAGACCCCCAAAGGGGGGTTTGGGGGCTGCAGAACCCCCAGCAGGTGGGGAGACCCCAAAGGGGGTTTGGGGAGGATTTGGGGCTGCAGAACCCCTAGGAGGTGGGGAGACCCTCAAAAGGGGAGGATTTGGGGGCTGCAGAACCCCCAGCAGGGCCCCTCTCAGCTGGGGGCTCCACATCCCTCTGTCTGGGGTCCCACTGCCCTCCCCTGCTTTGGGATCCCCCAAAATCCCCCCTTTTCCCAGGATTCCTAAACCCAGACCCCCAAAATCCCCCTTTTCCCAGGATTCCTAAACCCAGACCCCCCAAATCCCCCTTTTCCCAGGATTCCTGCACTTACACCCCTAAGGGGGTCCCACCACCCTCCCTGTTCTTTGAGACCCCCAAAACCCCCAAAAAGCCCTCAAAGCCCCCAAACCCCCTTCTTCCCAGGATTCTTACACCCAGATCCCCCCAAACCCCCAAAACCCCCCAAATCCCCCAAAGCCCCCTTTTTTGCCCCCAGGGCTCCTCCACTCCCAAACCCCTCTGAGGGGAGGTCCCACCACCCTCCCTGTGCTTTGGGACCCCCATAAACCCCCCAAAACCCCCCAAAATCCCCTTTTCTTCCTCCCCAGGACTCGTACCTGCAGAGCCGAGCCGACACCATGCAGCACATCGAGTCCCCCATGGGGGAGTTGGGGCTCAAACCCCCAAAAACCCCCTCAAACCCCCCAAAATTCCATTTTCCTCCCCTTCCAGGACTCGTACCTGCAGAGCCGAGCCGACACCATGCAGCACATCGAGTCCACCATGGGGGAGTTGGGGCTCCAATCCCTTCAAACCCCCCAAAACTCCCCAAAAACCCTCCAAAACCCCCTGAAACCCACCCAAAATCCCCCCAAACCCCCCCAAAACCCCCAAAAATCCCCTTTTTTCCCTCCCCAGGACTCGTACCTGCAGAGCCGAGCCGACACCATGCAGCACATCGAGTGCCCCATGGGGGAGTTGGGGCTCCAATCCCCTCAAAACTCCCCAAAACCCCTCAAACCCCCCAAAACCCCCCAAAATCCCCTTTTCTCCCCCCCAGGACTCGTACCTGCAGAGCCGAGCCGACACCATGCAGCACATCGAGTCCCCATGGGGAGTTGGGGCTCAAACCCCTCCCAAACCCCCCAAAAACCCCCATAAAAACCCCTCAAACCCCCCCCAAAACCCCATTTTTTCCCCCCCAGGACTCGTACCTGCAGAGCCGAGCCGACACCATGCAGCACATCGAGTCCCCATGGGGAGCTGGAGCTCCAATCCCCTCAAACCCCCAAAACCCCTAAAACACCCTAAAAATGCCTTTTTTTTTGGCCCCCAGGACTCGTACCTGCAGAGCCGAGCCGACACCATGCAGCACATCGAGTGCCCCATGGGAGAGTTGGGGCTCCAATCCCCTCCCAAACCCCCCAAAACCCCTAAAACACCCCCAAAATGCCTTTTTTCCCCCCCAGGACTCGTACCTGCAGAGCCGAGCCGACACCATGCAGCACATCGAGTCCACCATCGTGGAGCTCGGCTCCATCTTCCAGCAGCTCGCCCACATGGTCAAGGAGCAGGAGGAGACCATCCAGAGGTGCCTGAAACCCCCCAAAAACCCCTAAAAACCCCCAAAAACCCCCAAAACCCCTCTAAAGACCCCCCCAACGCCCCCCCAGGATCGACTCGAGCGTGGAGGACGCGCAGCTCAACGTGGAGGCCGCGCACGGAGAGATCCTCAAATACTTCCAGGCGGTCTCGGCCAACCGGTGGCTGATGGTGAAGATTTTCCTGGTCCTCGTCGTCTTCTTCGTCGTCTTCGTGGTGTTCCTGGCCTGAATTCCCACAGTTTTGGGATCCCTGTGGTGTTCCTGGCCTGAATTCCCACAGTTTTGGGGTCTCCATGGTGATCCTGGCCTGAATTCCCACTTTTTTTGGGATCCTCGTGGTGTTCCTGGCCTGAATTCCCACAGTTTTGGGATCCTCATGGTGTTCCTGGCCTGAATTCCCACAGTTTTGGGGTCTTTGTGGTGTTCCTGGCCTGAATTCCCACAGTTTTGGGATTCTCATGGTGTTCCTGGCCTGAATTCCCACAGTTTTGGGATTCTCATGGTGTTCCTGGCCTGAATTCCCACAGTTTTGGGATCTTTGTGGTGTTCCTGGCCTGAATTCCCAATTTTTTTGGGATCCCTGTGGTGTTCCTGGCCTGAATTCCCACTTTTTTTGGGGTCTTCGTGGTGTTCCTGGCCTGAATTCCCACTTTTTTTGGGGTCTCCATGGTGTTCCTGGCCTGAATTCCCACTTTTTTTGGGGTCTCCATGGTGTTCCTGGCCTGAATTCCCAATTTTTTTGGGATCCCTGTGGTGTTCCTGGCCTGAATTCCCAATTTTTTTGGGTCCTCGTGGTGTTCCTGGCCTGAATTCCCACAGTTTTGGGGTTTTTTTGTGGTGTTCCTGGCCTGAATTCCCAATTTTTTTGGGTCCTCGTGGTGTTCCTGGCCTGAATTCCCACAGTTTTGGGATCCTCCTGGTGTTCCTGGCCTGAATTCCCACAGTTTTGGGATCCTCCTGGTGTTCCTGGCCTGAATTCCCACAGTTTTGGGATCCTCGTGGTGTTCCTGGCCTGAATTCCCACAGTTTTGGGATCCCCGTGGTGTTCCTGGCCTGAATTCCCACAGTTTTGGGATCCTCGTGGTGTTCCTGGCCTGAATTCCCACTTTTTTTGGGATCCTCGTGGTGATCCTGGCCTGAATTCCCACAGTTTTGGGATCCTCGTGGTGTTCCTGGCCTGAATTCCCACTTTTTTTGGGTCTTTTTCCCTCATTTTCCACCACTGGAATTGTTTTCTCCTCCCCCCCCCACCCCACTCATGGACTTGGCCCCACGGATGGACACGGGTGGGGACCCCCAAATTTGATCCCCCTGGGGTTGTGGGGAGGGGAGGGAAGGGGGTTGGGAATGTTTTGGGACCCCCTCAATGGACCAGGGTCTCCCCTCACCCCCAATGGTGGGAGGGCTGGGGACCATTAAGGGGACCTCCAAAAGGGTGGGACCCCAATAAAGGGGTGGGACCCCAAAAAAAGAGGCTGTGTGGGATTAAGGGTGA